TACATAGTGAGTTCCTGGACAGACAGAGCTACACAGTGGGATCCTGCCTCAAAACAAACAAATCAATAAAAAGGCTTTACTGATTATTACAACTCAATAACATTCTGGAAAAGGCAAATCTACGAAGGCAAGATAAAGTCAACAGGTACCATGGGTTTGGGGGGGAAAGAAGGTGAAAAGAGGGGAAAGAAAAAGAACTCTTAGCAGGGGAAACTATTCTCAATGACGATGATAGGAACCTCACTATGCTCAGCAGGGCGGTGAGCTCTGCCATTAACATGGAGATGCCAGCTCTCTGGGTGCAAGATCTTCCCAGTAAGGCATGCAGTGTGCCCGGGAATTCTCTACTCTCTGCTTGAAGCAGATATGTACCTAAAACTTGCCCTCAAAAACATTTTCTTTTAGAACAGAAAAGAAGAAATGACTTATTTACTCCTTAGCCTATGAGTTCTATTTAGCCTTAAAAAATACAGTCATGTGTTTCTGATTCGGTCATTAGACTGTGCTGTCATTCTGTAGCCACCACAGTATCTTTTCACACACCCAGATGGTACATAAGCCTACTACACACAAGGGCTATGAGAAAAAGAGAAACACAGGACAGCTAATTGCTCCCAGGGTCATGATAAGGAAAAACATCATGACATTATACTGGACACAGAGAAAATAATGGAATAAAGAGATCAAGCATGAGATATGTAAAGCAGCCGATAGAAGGAGTACATTTAACATGACAGTGATCTGTTCACATTACCATGTAAACTATGGAACTGTGCTGCACGCTCATAAAACTGGCAGCACAGTTAGGTGCGTTTATGCCAGCATCACCATGGTCGCAGAGGAACAGGATGGCTACAAGGTCTACGTGACAGGAACCTATCAGCTCTATGAGCATCTTTGGGAGCAAGACATATGTGTTCCTGGAAACACCATAGGCTGCACATGGCTTTCAGTAAGCTGGAGTGGGGGCTCCCACGACTAGGAGCACCTGCTGCTCTCACCACAGGGCTCAAGGGTTCCAGGGCCAAAGCACCCACTGCTCCTGCAGAGGGGTCAGGTTTGGCTCCCTGCACCCACATGGCGCCGTACAATCTAACACCCAGAGTTCCAGTTCCAGAGGGTTCCACGTCAACTTCAGACCTCTGTGGCCTGATCTGCACATACACATTAAACATCAACTCATCACACACACACAAAAACAAATTTTCAGATGAATCCTGAATCCAAGTCCCCTAGAAGAGCAGCACGTGCTCTTAATCTCTGAGTCATGTCTCCAGCCCATGTTCATCTTCTTTTTAAATGTATGAAGTATAGTATATTCATACTTGGTTATGGTCAAAAGTTAGGTAATTGTAAATACAGAAATAAAACAAAGTTTCTAGATAACACAGAGAAGGCCAGGATGCACAGTGAATTTTGGGCCAGTCTGGGCTTGTGAAACTCTATTTCGAGAAAAAGAGAGAGAGTGTGTGTTTGTGTTGGGAAGGTTAAAAAAAATAGCTCAGCAGCTGAGTGCAATAGCTGCTTTTGTAGAAGATATAGGTTCAGTTCCCAGCACTACACAGTGGCTCACAACTGTCCATCTCTAGTTCCAGAGGATCCAGTACCTTCTTCGGTCCTCCTGTGCACTAGGCACACATATGGTACAAAGATATACATGTAGACAAACATTCACACACATAAAATAAAAATAAAATCTTTCTTAAAAGGGAGATTAAAGTAGGCAGTGGTGGCACATGCCTTTAATCCCAGCAGGCAGACGCAGGTGGATCTCTAAGTATGAGGCAGTCTGGTCTACACAGCAAGTTCTAAGATAGCTTGGGCTACACAGAGAAACCAAGTCTAAAAAGCAAACAAACAAACAAAAAACAAAAAAGGGGACACGTTAAAGAAAAGTTTACAAGGCATCAGCAACGTGGGAAACTCTCAGGCAGGGCTGCGCCATCACCTCAGCATGAAGAACAGCGGACTGCGGAAGGACTGGGTAGAGTTCAGGGCACAGCGCTGTCCCGGACCCACTCGCTTGTGGGCTCAATGCTCGGAAGAGAAGAGTGCCCACGGGGAGGTGTTTGGGTGTGGGGTCCAAGATGAAAAGATTCACAGAAACATTCTAAAACACTAAGCAGTTATTTCTGAGTAAAAGGAAAGGTGCAATTTTTTTTCATTTTCTGTCTTTTTTTTTTTCCTACTTTTCTGTGTCTTCTAAATATTCAACAGTAGGCAAAATTGTTACTTTTAGATTAGTTTTTGTTTTGCCTACATGTATGTCTGAATGGGAGTGTGTCAGATCCCCTGGAACAGGAGTTTCAGACAATTGTGAGCTGCTATGTGGGTGTTAGGAGTTGAACCTGAGTCCTCTAGAAGAGCAGCCAGTGTTCTTAACCACTGGGCCATCTCTCTAGCCCCTAGATTACTTTTTAAAGTTCAACTTTTAACTAATACTGAGTAGAACTTAACAGTAAAACTGAAAATGTACACAATACTGCTGTTTAAAAACTCAACTTGTTAAGGGCTTGGTGGTGCATGCCTTTAATCCCAGCACTCAGAAGGCAGAGGCAGGTGGATCTCTGTAAATTCACGGACAGCCTGGTCTACAGAGTGAGTTCCAGGACAGTCAGGACTACACAGAGAATTGCTGTCTCAAAGACCAAAAATAAAAACTCTTTTTTCTTTTCTTTTTTTAAGATTTATTTATTATGTATACAATGTTGGCTGCATGTATACCAGCAGGCCAGAAGAGGACACCAGATCTCATTGATGATTATGAGTCACCATGTGGTTGCTGGGAATTGAACTCAGGACCTCTGGAAGAGCAGCCAGTGCTCTTAACCTCTGAGCCAGCGCTCCAGCCTCAAAACAAAAACTCTTAGCCAGGTGTTAGGTTGCACATTTGTAGCCCCAGGTGTCAGGAGGCTGGGGAAAGGATCCTAGCATTTACACTAATCTTGGCTACATAGAAAGAAGTAGTCTTGAGGAGAGATGACCTATTAACTTTCTATATTCAGTGCTTTTCTTGTAGATCTAGTATGAATAAAATATTCAAGTTAAGTTCTGACTCTAGTATGGAGCTAGAACGGTAGCACACACCTGTAGTCCCAGCACTCAGGGAGGCAGAGGCAAGCAGGTATCCGTGAGTTCGAGGCCAGCCTAGTCTACAAAGTGAGTCCAGGACAGACAAGGCTAAACAGAGAAACCCTGTCTCAAAACAAACAAAAAGATTCTAGAATATAATGCAAAGATACAGACTAGATAGAAGGTGGGGCCGAAGAACAGAGGTAAAAAGATACTGATATAATCCTGACCTAGAAGAAGTATTGTGAATGAAGAAAAAAAAAAAAAATCAAGACTTTGGGAGCAGGCCAGAAGTAATGGTGCACTCCTGTGACCCCAGCCCTCAGGAGGAAGAAGCACGCAGATCTCTGAGTTTGAGGCCAGCCTGGTCTACACTGCACGTTCCAGAGCAGCCAGACCTATAAAATAGAGCACCTCAATCAATCCATCAATAAGCAAGCAAGTAAGCAAATGATGGATGGATGGGTGAGTGGATGGATGTGCACAAGTGAGCAAATAAGTAAATGGATAGACAGATGGATAAATAAGTACAAGTGAGCAAATAAACAAATAGATGAATAAATAAATGAACAGACCAAACAAAAAGGCTCTAGGAGCTCAGATTCGGAGTGAGCAGTGAGCAGCAGGTTTAGAACAGAGCCTAGATGGTTCAATGACCTTGGGCTCTGCATGCCTTATCTGTAGCTATGGAAAGCCATTTGCAAGCAGGAGTCAGGAGAACTTCCTGTGCTGCTGTGCAGAGTGAAAAGCTGCACTACTATGGACAGCACGACAATGTGCTATGCTGGGCATAAGGCTCAGAAAACGCTTGCTCTTCCTCATGGGCACTGTGACTGGCATGCAGCCACGGAGTTGACGAGACCTTCAAAATCAAACCATCTGAAAACAAAACAACTCCCGTAATAAGGGAGACAGGTTAACTCAGTGTTGGAGAACTTACTCAGCAGGGCTCAGGAAAACAAAGCTTTACAAATTACAAGGAGGTCGATTTTTCAGCCCCCCTCCCCCCGTAAGAAAGAACACGTTCAAAATGACATGAATCAACTTTGCAAGTCACTCTAAATGCTCAAAGAGAAGGATAAAAAAAAACAAAACATACCCAAAACTATGCAGAAGGCTTTTTAGTACGGTACAGGATCTGTAAGCTCCAGGCCAGATGTACATAATACCAAAAACCTGTGATTTGATTTCAGTCACACAAACTTCATCTACCCATCTATCTACTCCACTAAAAATTTCTCAAAAAAAGAATGTTTCATTCCTTAGCCACTATGAAAATAAAACTTCCAAACAGCAAGCAATTATGTAACAGCAGATACAAAATTAGTCTTAAAAGGCAACAGGAATAGATAGAAAATACATTGAATATTACATCACATTTATGATCCTGTGCCATGCTAAAAAACTTTGTGCGTTAACAGACCCTCTACTCTTTCCCCCTCCAAAACAACAGTCCAAGAGCTCACGGTTTTGGCCAGTAACATGGCTAATGCTGCAGTGCTGGGAGTGCAGCTCAGTGGGAGAGCACTGGCCTAGGACTCCCAGACCCTGGGTTCAATGTATGCATTCCCAGCTGTGGGGCTACACATTTCGCTGTTATTTTCTTTTTCCATTAAAAAAATATTTATTTTATGTGCAAGAACATTTACAGTATGTGCACCACAGAAGTCAGAAGAATCACCAGATCCCAGCTCCCCTGCAAGTACTCCCAACTGCTGGGCCATCTCTCCTGCCCATCCTTTCCTTCCTACACTGATCCACTGTCCTTAGTCATATTCATTGCTGGCTTAGACAGCATTTAGGAACATTTAAGACAATGAAACCACAGGCTAGAAATCTTGAAACTTTAAAAATGAGAGAGAGCAGTAAACAGAAACTTTAAGTTACACAGACGCCTTTAAGAAGGGTGGAAGGGCTTTAATACTTACATTTTGCTTCTGAAAGATTCTGATTAGGTGACCAGACCAACATGCCAAGATTGTCTCGTTCTTGACTGCGCCTTGACAGTTTGGCTTAGTAGAAAAAAATAAAAAATATATTATTATAAGTTAGTAGGTACAATAAGCAGTAAATACCACCACTATTCTGAGCCTTACGATATGGCATAACCAGTTACCCTTCACCTCATACCCATACACTAATAATAACTAAAATAACTCTAAAACAGTATTTTAAAAATTTCACAAAGTCTGCTAAGATGGCTTCACATGGGAAAGAAACAGGATCTTAAGGGTGGGGAGACAGGAATATGACAAATAGAAGTGACATATCATCTACGTTTGAATATGCCCTTTTTTATTTTTCTTTTCTTTCTTTCATTATTTTTGGTTTGGTTTGGTTTTTCGAGACAGGGTTTCTCTGTGTAGTCCTGGCTGTCCTGGAACTCTGTAGAACAGGCTGGCCTTGAACTCATAGAGATCCGCCTGCCTCTGATTCCCAAGTGCTGGGATTAAAGGCTTGTGCCACCACCGCCTGACTGTGAATATGCCTTTTTAAAATTTTGTTTTTGTTGAAACAGGGTCTCAGTATGTATTCCTGACTGGTCTGGAACTTGCTATGTAGACCAGGCTGGCCTTGAACTCTGAGCAATCCACCTGCCTCTGCCTCCCAAGTGTTGAGATTGAAAATACGTACCCACACCTAGTCTTGAATGCCTTTTTAATATAATAAAAATGTTAATTCTGCATACAGCAGCAACATTAGCAGAGATCCAGCCCATTGACCAGACTTTTGTGAAGACCCTGAGCCTGTTCTTAAGTGTGAAGCTCTCTCGGCCTCTAGGTTTCTTCAAGGTCCCACCTCCCAGTATACTGGCCATACAGATTTAAACATGGGTTTTGGAGTAGACCGACATTCATACCAAAACAAATACTCATTAAAGAAAGTGGTCGCACACACAACATGCCTACACTCCCAACATTTGAGAAACTCGGGAAGTTCTCAGTTAGCCAGAACTACAGAGCAAGATGAGAGCCCACAAAAATATTCTCCAACCAACCAACCAACCAACACAAAAGAAAAAGAAAAGAGAAGAGACTGGGTGGAGGTAGCACACAGCTTTAATCCAGCACTAGGAGATACAGGCAAGTGGATCTCTGTGAGTTCAAGGCCAGCCTGGACTACAAAGCAAGTTTCAGGGCAACCAAGGCTACACAGAGAAACCCTGGGGGCAGGGGAGAATATTCATTCACTCCCCCCCACCATACCTGTCTCTCAGAAAGAGGAAGTAAAGGGGGACGGCAAGGTTAAAAACCAACAGCTCAGGGGAAAGGCAAATTGAAGCTCCATGAGTAACTACTATACCATGTTTACTAAAAAGTACAAAGAGAAAAATTAAAACAATGCTCAAGTTTGGTGATAATGTGGAGAAAATGAAACTCTCTGAACTGATAGTGGCAATATGAGATGCAGCTAATGCTTTGGAGGGAAAGTCTAACAGTTTCTGTCTCCAAACTGTCACAGATCCATGCACTAGAATACAACTAGGCTATAAAGCACATGAACTGAACAATAAGAACATGAATGACTCTCAAAACACTTAAGCTCGAAGAAGAGTCACACACACAGAAAAGGGGAGCTTTCAGAAAGACAGCCAGGCAGTAGGCAGGACTGCCGGTAACAGCATGCACCGTCCATTCCGTCACCCAGAAGATCACAGGTGTGTGCACATCTGTCCACTCAGAGAGCCTTGAGGGATGGAAAACTAAGCACATTAACCCCCAGAGGGGACTTCTAAACATGTGTCCAATAAAGGAACCAAGATATCGTGAAGAAATATTTTATTCCAGGGCTCACAAGATTACAAGATGACCCTAAAATGTTTTATTATACCAGAAAATAAGAAGATTGCCAAAGAACAATGGATTCTATCTTCCACTAGCCAAATCTTGACTAATTTGAGTAACAAAATAAACGATAGAAACTTTGAAGTGCAAGGTGCACACCTTCAAGATGTGTGCAAAATTCAAGGTGTACACCAACATTTGAAGAAGGTAAAAGAGGAGGAAGAGGAGGAAGAGAAAGAGGAAAGATTCTCTTGAAAAGTTTAAGACCAGCCTGGTCTACACAGTGAGTTCCAGGCCAGCCAAGGCTACACAAGTGAGTCTCAGAACGAAGCAAACAGAAGTGAGCTTGGCAGCTCACACCTACAATACTGGCATTCAGAAGACAGATGAGAACTGCCACACATGTGAACTGCAGACTGAGACCATGTCCTTACACGAGGAGGAGAAAACAGGAGCAAGACAGGAGGAAGGGACGGAGGGGTGAATGAATCTTTAAAATGGACCTTGGAAGTAAGGACTCTGTAAATGAACAAAAATTATATAACTTTTAGAAAAACACATAAAAAAAAAACCTTGTGAATTTGCTTTAGGAAAAGTACCATTAGATATGGTAACAGGACCATAATCCACAGAAGATGGCCCTTTGTCCTTAACCTCAGTTTGAGTTTGTATCAGAACAGAGCAGCAACCAAGAGGCAAGAGCCTAGTGGTTTACTAGATCTCCAACATCCTCGGGTGTGTAGGCTAAAACCTACCATGTTACTGATGCTAGCTGGAAAACCACTTTCCCCATTCTGGTGTTACTACTAGGCATTGAACCTAGCACCTTGCACCCACCAGACAAAAACTTTACCACTGACCCCTCTTTTTATTTCTAATGTTGAGCCATGGTCCCTGCCACTGTAGCTCGGGCCGTTAGTACACTGTTATGAACCTCCTGCTGGGGCATTAAGTAGCCAGGACTACAGGCCTGTACTAGCAGGCATGGCTAGGCATAGTTCTTAAGGTCCTGCAGCTATATACTGTCAGCGGGGACACCAGCAACGAGTGACCCAAGTACAGCAGTAAATGGGGGCCTGTTGCTGGCTGCCAACTTCCCTACCCCCACAGACACACAAGCTTACCTAACAGGCACTTGACTCAGCCCTGCCAGCAGCAACGCTCACACCCACCCAGCTCACAAGCTCAGGGTGTCTGCAGTCTCACTCTGTCCAGCCCTGGGAGTGCTTGCCCACACTCAAGGCTCCCTGTCACATTCTAGAGTTCAATAAATACCTAGGGGATTTAAATACCAGTTTAGACAGCTATAGGGTGGCCTTGGGACCACGAGGTCCTCAGCCTTTCACTGTACCCTGGCTCATTCTTGGGATCCATGGAGCATCTCAGCACAAAAGACCTAGAACTGTGGGCCAAGAGGATGTGGCACTGCAGATACCAACAAAGTAGATGCAGAACATTTCGGAACGGGGGCAGTTGCTGCACCTCCTTCCGAAGGCCTTCTCCCGCCCGCTATTCGCTGTCTGCCCTGAGCTAGCGCTCCTACACACTCCTAAAGCCTGTCTAAGGGAAGCTGCTGCTGGGTGGCGCCCCGCAGCGCTGCTGCCCACCAGCCGTCTAGGAACCCTAGTGTCTCCCGACACTTAGCAGCCTGACGCTTTTTAACACTTGCTCTCTGCTTTGTGCCCCAATGTGGACAGGCTGGACATTCTCTGTTGCTGATTGCTAAACAGCCCTCGCTGTCCTGAAACTTGCTGTGGAGACTGAGCTCACTTCGCTCTCCTCGCACTCTGAGACTCCCGCCTCCTGAACACCTCCACACCCAGCCCCGATGCTGTTCCACGGCAACTCGACAGCCAGAGCCATTTTCTCCCTCTTCAGTTCTCTTCACTCACTTGGATTTATTTTACCTTCCCTATGAATACCTAAAACGTTTTTTAACATTTTTTTCAATTTTTACATATGTGTATGTAAGTAAGCCATGTTTGTCTGAGAGTTACAGATGGCTGGGAGCTGCCCAATGTGGGTGCTGGGCCTTCTAGAAGAGCAGCCAGTGCTCTTGACTGTTCTCCAGTCCCCAAATAAAGCTGGAAACAGCTGTGTGTGAGCCTCGTTGAGGACATGTGAGTTTGGTAAGCATAGTTAATTCTTTTTAAAAGACTGCCTGTTTTCCAGTGGTTTTATAATAACTCACTTGTTTCAGCAAAAACAGTACAAGTCTTCACTCTTGTCAGTACTTAGTTTTACCTAGGCCTTTTAGTTTAGTGCATTCACACAATGGCTTTAATTTAAATTTCTCTAATGCTCAGTAATACTGGACAGTTTTTCATGATATGCTATCTGTATATTTTGGTGAAGTAACTAGACTTTTACCCCCATTAAAAAAAAGCTGAATCAGGTGATGATGGCACACACCTTGATCCCAGCACTCAGGGAGAGACAGGTAGATCTCTGAGTTTGAGGCCAGCCCTGGTCTACAGAGTGAGTTCCAAGACAGTCAGGGATACACAGGAAAACCCTGTCTCGAAAAACAAAAATAAAGTAAAATAAACCACCACCAACAACAAAAACCTGGCTTCTTCTTGGCTTCTTGGCTTGCTGAGCGTGAGCATTCTTCGGATGCAAGTTAGATGTGAATGTGCGAACTTTTTCTCACAGTCTGCAGAGTGTCTCTCCACTGTGTGATTTGTACATAAAAGATTTTAATAAAAAAAAAAAAAAAAGAAATTTAGGGGATGGGACTAGAGAGATGGCACAGTAGTTAAGAGCACTTACTACTCTTCCAGAAGACCCAGGCTTGATTCCTAGCACCCACATGGTGGCCTGTAATCAATCCCCTATAACTCCAGTTATAAGGGATTTGATACCTTCTTCTGGCTTCCATGGACACAAGGAAGATGTGCTGGTGCATAGACATATATGGAGGCAAAATACTCATACACATAAAAGATAGAATAAAGACACCTATTCGCAGCCACCAGAAACTAGAAAAGCATACAAATATGTAAGAGAAGACAGGCAGATGATGGTGTTTTCACACCAGACTAGTACACAGCAACAAAAATAATTGATAACTCATCCGCACAACTGTCTTAAGGATAAACCCTGAGGAAAGTGTGATGGTCTGAATGAGAAAGAATGAGAATGGCCTCCTGCACAATCAAAGTTCTGAGCGTTTGGTTTCTATCTAGCTGGTGGGCTGATTAGGAAGGGTGAGAAGGCGGGACCTC